AGAAAAACAAGCAGGCTTTGGGACACACCTTTCAACCAGACTCAAACTCCACATCTTGGTGATTTATCCATCCTTCGAGCTACCAAGAATGCTACCTATTTGTAACAGGCTCATCTGCATTGTTAAAAACTGCCCTTATTTTGGCAGATAAGCCAGTCAACTCTGGAAACAGTGATGGTCTCTTAGATTTCTTTTTGGAAAGTGTCTTAAATTTATGGTGGGAATTACTCATGACAGCTGCATTCTTTCCATTGGGTTTAGACCACCATTTGGTCTAATCACTCCTAATTGTGTGTCTATTGTAGTCCACACTTCTTCAAAAAGTAAAAGAGCAAAAAGACTTTTGAAAATCCACTAAAGCAATAACCGGTGATTCGTGTCAATGGTAAACACTATTTTGAAATTTAAGAAGGTCAGCTGATGATGAACAAAATCCACATTTGGATGAATGTGGATTTCTTCAGAGATTTTTCACCACTGCCGTTAATGCTAGTCTGATTTTTTTTTATGTAAAATGACTTAGTTTCATCGTGTTCCCAAAATATTTTTAGCATACAGGCGAAAGTCCTGTCAGCACTCATAGTCATGGTATTTTCTTGAAAGAAGTACCTCTCAAAGTAATTTTCCTCCAAACGTCACCAAAGTACAACATAGATACCTTGAAGACGTTGCTCATTTAAAAATCGTAAGAGGTCTAATTATGTTTCCAAAATAAGTAGTTTCCAATCCAGTAAGGATAATGTGGTCATGAAAAGGATGTCCAAATCCACCAATTTACATTGGTTTGGTTTGGCATCACTTTTAAAGTTCTTGGAGCAAAAAAGAGGATGGCACGTGAATCATTGCAATGTGGGGAATATTCCCAGGACTTGGGGTTTGCCATTCTGTGAACCATTCAGGGGAAAGCTAATCAACTTCAAGACTGCCCCTCTATAATTTATAACTGCTAAAATTCACTGATATGTTCCAGATTATTTTGCAAAATGTAATACACTCCTTTTTAATATGTACTTTGTCATTTTCACTCTATTGATGTAATTTAAAAAGTATGATAGCAGGGGAGCATGAGCCATTTAAAGCAGGAGCCACTAATGTCAGAGATTGTTATCCTTTGCAAGATAAATAGCATGGATATCTCTGAGTCTGAAGGGCTTGGAAGTTGTGTCAAGTTAGACTTAAATTGCATCCAATATGGTTTGCTTTACTCCCTTTTACTTTCTGGTTTTTATGTTAAGCCACAAAGCAGTTTCTCTGCTATGACTTAGTTCTATGACCACAGTGGTGGCACTGGTCTGAGTTACCCTCCCTGTCTTCATTCCCAGCCCTCCCTCCTTTTATCCCCAAAGAAAATTGAGTTATTAATTTAGGATGAGGCTGCTTTGTTTAAATCAGGGGTCCTCAAACTACGGCCCGCGGGCCACATGCAAATACAAATATTATATTTGTTCCCGTTTTGTTTTTTTACTTCAAAATAAGATATGTGCAGTGTGCATAGGAATTTGTTCATAGTTTTTTTTTTTTTAACTATAGTCCGGCCCTCCAGCGGTCTGAGGGACAGTGAACTGGCCCTCTGTTTAAAAAGTTTGAGGACCCCTGGTTTAAATAGTATAGTGCTTTTCAATTGCTCATACATAATATATCTAACATACTGCTCTTTCAAATGTTTTTGATTACTGAACTTAAAAAAACATAACTAAAAAGTAAAACAACCTTCCACTGAAATTTATGGAAAATCAAGGAGGTACTTCTTATGTTATAAATTTAAATTTATACAGAAGAATTTCAGTAATTGAAGTTTAGTTTATAACTCTAGACAACATATGCATTTCAATAACATAAAATAATATTAGAAAAGGAAGAGTCCTAAGTTCAAAATAGAAATGCACTTGATTTTGTATCTCCTATGAAGGAAGATGAATATTAAGGTGAGGCTTAAGAAGGGTCCTATTTACAATAAGAATATGTTGGAATTCAAGTAATTGTATTTACTATTAACCTCTGCTGAGGGTCCAATTAATTAAGAAAACAAAAATTATTTATAAAAATATGTATAGTAATTTTTCTCATTTTTATTGTAGATGTTGACATCTCATCTTTAAGCATTACTTTAAGTAGGGCTAATTAGACTAATTTGTTAGAAAACAGGATTCTCATTTGGAGAATGTAGATCTACATATTCCATTGATGTTTCTATTTTCTAAAATATTCTGTTACTCAAATTCCTTCAGAGTAACTGATAATTCATGGAAAAAAATCAGGACCACTTTCTTTTCGCCAAACTTTGTATTGGCAAGCCAGATGACAGTATTCACTATTTGTGGTTCTGAATGGCTCTTGACTACTTCCAAATCCAAAACCATTACCAAAGTCACTGAACTTGCCATCATGACCATTTTTCTATAGACAATATGGAGCCTCTAAAGGTGATTTTAGGGAATTCCAAAATATTTTCCTTAACGGCTACATGTTCAGACAAATCAAGCATACTCCCAACAGGGAAAACTTTGAAAGGGACACACTTACTTGAATGCTAAGTTTTAATATTTTTAAAATATATTACATTATTTAACATTTATATTTAAAACTAACAGAGCAAGAAAGAAATTGTTAATAAATTATAAAGTTCTGAGTCATTGTGCATAAGTTGAAGACCAACATGGTTCTATACCAAAAGTAGGAATCAAATATTATAAAAATTTTAATTAGGATAATTGTCACATTTAAGTTGTCAAATGTACAGTATACTTAAAAGCAAGCATGCTGGAGTACCTTTGATTAATGGAGCTATTTTGTGCATCAGGAAAGAAGAATGTATTGATTTTTATTAATGGATGTATCTTAGACACTTTCATACACACAAATAGGTGTCCAAACTTATTCTAATTCCTCACATATTCATAGTTCTCAGGAAAGGACAAACTTGATAACTTATTATTAGATTATTCTAGAATTACAAAAATCACACCAATTAGCCCAGCTGGTGTTGCTCAGTGGTTGAGCATCGACCTATGAACCAGGAGATCATGGTTTGATTCCCAGTCAGGGCACATGCCCAGAGTGTGGCTCAATCCCCAGTGTGGGACATGCAAGAGACAGCAATCAATGATTGTCTCTTATCATTGATGTTTCTATCTCTCTGTCCCTCTCCCTTTCTCTTTGAAATCAATAAAAATACAGTTTTAAAATCACACCAATTAATACATTTGCTACTAGCTATTCAATCTTAATGACATTAACCCAAGTTATTCCATACTTTATTATATGGAAGGGTAAGAACCATTGTGAGGATGGTTAGGTGGGGCACAAGAACATTTAAGGCAGTGAACATACTTTGTGTGATACTATCATGGTGGATACATGTCATTATGCATCTGTTCTAAACCGAAGAATGTGCAGCAAGATTGAATCCTAATGCAAACAGTGGGCTTTGAATGATTATGATATATCATTGTAGGATCACCAGTTGTAGTGAGTGTGCTACTCTGGTGGAAGAATGTTGATGATGGGAGAGGCTATGCTTGTGTGGGGACAGAGGAAATCTCTGTACCTCCCTGTCGATTTTGCTATAAACCTAAAACTGCCCTAAAAAGGTAAAGTCTTATAAAAAGATGAGTGATTAAAAAGTAGTAATACTAACTAAAATAAAAATAATGAATATTTTTTGTTTTGAATTATGCTGTTAATACCAGTATTACATGTCATGTGATTCTACCTTAACCCACTGATGAAATATTTGTACAATGCCATACATTTCCTACAATAAATTTTGTATAAACAGCCATGTTAAATTAATAAAGAAGCTCATTTTATGTCAGCCGAGCTTTACAGAGCCTTTATTCTGCTACACTATCACAATAATTTCTACCAATGCGTTTAATACTTACGATAGCGGATTACAATGTTCAACCATGGTGCTGTGCCACCTTAGAGAAACTGCTGAGTCCATGACCTCAGCATTGCTGGCACTCTCACCCAGGCCTCTCCAAGGGCACGGACACATCAGGGAATATATACTCTTGGCATTAAAAGTACATTATGAACATTTTTAGGGGTAATGATAGTGTTTCTCTTTTAATTTTCCTGTTTCTTCATCATTTCGATGACCTGGTGTTGGAAATCACTAGATGCTGTAATAGATGTGTGGAAAACAAGGGGTTGGTCATCTAGAGCCACTGCCAGCATAAGTTATTTTGAATTATAGATGACCAGTTTTAAAATAAGCTGGAACAAATTTTACCATTTTGTCAAGGATTCATTTTAATTTTTTTTCTCCCATAACAGAGCACCCCATTACCTGTAATGCACTAGAAATGTCAAACTGAGAATACATCTGGAATAGAAATTTTATACTGCAGTTTGAAATAACCAGTTCAATACATGTCATGCTGTTGTGGCACTAAAAAATGAGAATGGACTAGAACAGGATAGGACAGGACAGGGTAAGGTAGGATAGGACAGGATAGGATAGAAACTGGAGGGAGGGGAGAGAGTGATAAGAGAAAAGGGGAGACAAGGGGAGGAAAGGAGAGAGAGGGAAAAAGGAACGAAAAGGAAGGAA